GGTGAAGGTGAAGATTTTGGTGTCGGAGGAGATCTTTGTCTTTTTCGAGAGGATGCCCTTCGTCCAGGTCTTTGACTGGAGGAAGACGGCGCGAGGGGAGGCTTGGGAGTCTTCTACTACGACCTCGCCTGCGCTTAGGATCTTTTGGGCTGCCGAGTCGAGGGTGCCGATGTGGTACTGGGGCATCATGGCCTTGGCGTTCTCGCTGTCTAGAGAGGAGAGCGTTAAAAGCAAGCCAACATTGGAGAAGGAGATTGCTGCGAACTTACGAATGGTCAGGAACTCTTCCGAGACGTCCTGTGCAGCTGCTCCAAAGATGGATGCTGCACCTCCCGGGTGGCCTTCCAAGAAAGGAGTGCCGTCGTACACCTCATTATTGACGACGAACCAAGGCTCCTCTTCGCCTTCATGCTGGCGCAGCTCGTCAATGGAAATGGCCCGCTTGACAGTGTCCTTGGTCATGCAGATTTCCTTAACGGGCTCCAGCTCGGTTGAGCTCCCGGTTTCGCCCTCTACCTTTTCGCCCCAGAATCCGTTGGCCAGGTTTCCTCCGGCCTTCTTGACACGGTCCATCCATCCGCCCGGCATGAGAGCTGGTTGCGTTGGGTGCTCGAAACGAAGATCATGGCCTTCTTTGTGGATGACCACCCTGAACCACGGATTGTTCATCATGCCCAGGACACTCCAGTACATGTCTCTCGGTTGCACCATCATGCCCTCGTCCATAGCGCGGACCATGACGTCCGCCGCATCCGCGAGCTGGGCTACGGGTATGTCCAAGTCCCAGAAGCACCAGCAGAAGCAGCTCTCTCTCCAGTCCATATCCACGCGGCCGCCGTAGAGAGTCTCGCCTTCGGGAGCGAGTCGGTACGTGTCTTCGGGGTAGTTAATGTTGGCGAGGAGCCAGGTCTTGCCACGGTCCAAACTTAATTCTACTCTAGTGATGCGTCGACCGCCACCGCCGTACGCGTATCCGCGAACCTTGTACGATTCTGGTCCGTTGGTCAATGATAGGACCTCGTCGTGCGCAGGGTAGCAGGTGGCGCTGTTCGTGTTGAGGTCGTAGATGGCGTAACGTTCATCTTTCCATACTTCGGGGAGGTCAGCGCTGGCGTCTGGCGAGACCATGGTAGGAAGCACGCGGTTGTCGTAAATATGATACCAGTTGTCGCTCGGCTCTTTGGTCACGATGATCTTCTTGAGCCACTTTACGCTTCTGCCGCCGATCTGCCCGGGAATGATGATGCGTACTGGCTTCCCGTGGTCGGGGTGCAGTAACTCGCCGTTCATGCGGTAACAGACGGTCACGCCGCGGTTAGGATCCATACACCAATTGAGCTTGATGCTAGTTCCATAGTATCCGTTGGGTAATTTATCGGCGCCCTCGAAACAGACGTATTTGGCGCCCCTCTTGGGCATCGCCTTGGCGAGCAGGTCGCCTATCGAGACACCGGTCCAGATGGCTGTTGACAGACCGGCGGCACCCCATGAGAAGCCCTTTGACTTCCTAACCATGTTCTGTTCTTTCCGGCGGTTTCCAGCACATACGAGGGTGACGGGATAGGTGATCTGCTCGTAGTCTGAGATGAGGTCTCTGAGTGTCATCTTGATAGGGTTCTCGACCAGGCCCTCGACAGTGAACTCCCAGTCAAACATGTCTTCGTCCTCGACCTTTGGCACTGGGCCGTGGTTGCGTACATAGTGCAAGTCTTTCGTGGTAATGAAACCTTCGTCGTACAGCTCGCTAAGAGGGGCCTCGACGTTGAAGGGGTGAAGCCCCGTCAGGCGTATTAGTCGGGGATCTCTGGTGACATGACTGTCGGGTGTCTTGAGGTCTTCGGTGAGGACCTTGTTGACTCTAGACTTGGGAGGTAGGGGATATGTGCGAGGGCCCTCGACGATGACCTCGTCTAACAAGCACCCTGATATTGAGCAGTCTGATCCGCCGTCAACGCTATAAGACTGACCCTCTCTTACTGTCGTTGCAGGACTGGGAGGAAAGCTGAGCTCTTTCTTGGCGTGTGGTTCTCGTAAAGATGTTGACGTAGGGGTAGGGAGAACATCCATGGTTGACGATGATGGTTGGGCGTACGACTGATAGGCGTTATGAGGAAGATTGAATGAAGTTGAGCAGGATAAGCGTCCGGGGTAATAGTTGTATCAGCCGTTAATGATAATCACAAGCCAGCCATGAAACTGCTTAGGCGCTAGGCAAGATACAATCAACTGTCAACCCGGAAAACAAGGCTCGATGCAAGATCGCTATGAGGTAGAGTAGATGGCTAGAAATCACGAGAGAAAAGAGAAAATCTACGAACGCCGGGCAAGGATGGAATAAGTAACAGTGATGAGTGGGTTGGGTTGGTGGAGGTGAGAATTGGATTTCCTGGGGCCGGAGTTTGGTGTCTGTGGTGTGGGCAGGCCGGACGCACGACAGGGGGCGAGGGGATGGGGAATTGCTGCATGACATGACATGGCATGGCATGGCAAGTGCAAGGCCAAAGATTTAAGGCCTTGCTTGGGGATGGGGTGGAATAGTACAACATGGCATCATCAGATGAAAGTGACGCTAAGATAAAGGCTCACCGGGAGACCTAAAGGCCGTGGACAAGCAGGATCATCTCTCCGAGAATTGCGCTGACGGCTGGACAGGAAGGTATACAGTACCTACCTAATTAGAAAAAGAGACAGTCCCGTCCGTGTACAGGACCTGCGGTGCCATATTCCATCCTCACCAAATACTCTTAGCTTGGGTGCCCTCGTTGGCCTTGGTCAAAGTGTCGTGTAAGTGAGCAGACGATTCGCCGGCGAATAAGATCGACCAGACGGTTCGGAACCTGGCAACTTACCTTATTCGACGGGTACGAGACGGCGTGCGGCGAGGAGATGCAACTTTCTAGCTAGGAAGGGAGTGGGCTCAAGTGTTGAAGAGTTCCGCGGAGGAAAGACACACACTGACACTACTGGCATGCTGGAGCGGGATTCTTATCAGTTGCTCGCGTCATTCTTCTCTTGGACAGTTTGACGTTGGCGGTTGGACTGATGCTATTGGGGCGATAAGGGCACAAAGCAACGGACGAGGGAAATCTCAGCGGAGATGCTTAATTCAACTTTTTTTTATCTCCCTCTCCTTCAGTCTATCGGCTCGGTATTTCGCGGCACTGGATTGGTCAAATGATTCGAATGGAACCCCGATCGGGATCCACGCCCCTGGGCCCGGGAAAGGCCCGTGGAAAATGTGTTGAAAAGGTCCCGGATCGGGGGAATTCTCAAAGTTCAAGAGACCCGGCACCCTTGTCCGTCCGGTTGGCCGCCGCATCCAAGAGCCGTACTTACTTTCATACACCAGGCCGAACCTCATCGTGTTCATACACCGTTATCATTCTTCATGTTTAGAGACGGCATTTGATCTTTCGATGCAACTGCTACACCAGGTATCATCGGATCAGGCTTGCATTCATCAATTTAGCAAGCCTTCATCTGTCGTTGGGCTAGGTCTTTTGACCCCGTCATCCTAGGGTCATTATCGTGGCGCGTCGCACAGCTTGACACCCATCACGACGGTTTGCGGAGATTTCTCTCGTGTTGCCTGTAACACTCATGTCGTGGCTCACGATCAGCCTCGCCCGCGAATGTGGCAATATGAAGTCTTGAGCAACATCGTGGCTGCTAGTGAATGACTTGTCAACCTTCGCTACGTACCATCTGATCCTATAGAAAATGGTGTGACTCAACGTAGTAGAGCCTTGAATGAGGCCAGAAGTCTGGACCAGCCACACCTTCAGAGTTTGTGCTTTCGCATTGCGTAAAGTTTTAGTAAGAAACGACATGTGTGATGTTGTGGCTGATTTGTCGATAACAGGATTGGCAGACTTGCTTTCTTGATCCTGGCATGTCCGTCATTGGCCAATTGAGACGGTGATTCGTGGGAACTTCAAATCAAATATGTTGACATTAGACCTGTGCTCGTATCTTGCTTCATTTTCCCCTCAAAGGCAACATGTCTCACGGCTGGGTCCGTGAGTGGGGATGGAGGCATTCCATGAAGCCACAGAAATGGGCTTCGAAACCTCATGTTTCCCATATTTGGCATAAGATTTTCGGATTCTTTAAAAGACACTCTGAAGCCAAGTGGGACATGGGAATTTCTCCTTCAGCTGAGTGACATGACTGAACCTCAAGAAGCTGTCTCTTCCCGTTCATACCGTCCTTCCACTTTCGCATCAACGTAAATCCTTCCGATAATACTCCAGGCTCAATCCAATACCCTATATAGGTATCCGTAGCATGGAGGTATGTAAATATGGAGCCACGGGGACAGGTTTTCCATGGTGAATGTTGGAAGTGGACCTGTGAGGTAAACGACAAAGGTACCCAAAGCGCCGGGTCATGACGCTCACCGCCCGGACCGCCTAGATGACCGTGAAATGCGGCATCCAAGGCGGCAAATCAGATGCTACCTTGGGTGCCTGCCCACCTAAGCTATAGGCCACCCACAGCAGGAACCATGCGCTAAGTAGGTTGCTCCCTCCGAAACTCTCACTGCAAGGCGCCTGTGCAGCCTTCCATTGCACACCTGGAGGGCTTTCCGCGACCTTCCTGAATCTCCAAGGCCACTACTCCGTACCCAAAATCCGCTAAACACAACCGCCACCGTCGCTGCCCTGACTTCCCTTGTGCAGATCCAGCAGAGACAGGCAACCCAAACGGCTCCTCACCTTCACCTCAGGTCCAGAATTCTCTCAGCACCGCCAATACAATCGCCAACGACACCATTCACGCAAACCCGAACCGACACGACCACTTGCCCCCCCAGGCAAGGCCTGCCGCTGCGAACAATCTTACCGATGCCGGCCCATGTTGACGCGCAGAGTCACATTCGTTTACAACACTCGATCCCATAGCACCAGCTCCCGACATCATCAGTGCCATCCTGCCCTATGTAGCGCCCGTCCGCTTTCAACCCTTGCATATACAACACTCGATTCTCACGATCCGCCATGGATCGTGCCAGGAAGCGTCAGTTCCGCCCTCTCGCCCGCCCGCCGCCTTCTCTTCTACTATTAGGCATCTTGCTAACAATCACTCAGGTGAATTGCGCTCCTTGAATACCCGCGCTTGGGATGGCGAGCAAGGTTCGTATAGCTGGTTCAGACCCCACCATGCCCAACACCCCTCCTCTGACTTGATTCTCCTTCACAGATCTGTTTGCTGTCAGCAAATCTCTCGATTCATCTCTCAAGAAGAATACCGCCTTCATCAAGCGCCTTCGAACCGCCGTATCAGCCGCGACCCTAAACACCTTCCTCCAAGAGATCCGCACCCTCAGCCTGCACAAGTACCTCTCCGAAATCGTCTCTGCCTGCTTCGAGGGCCTATGCAGACTCAAGTCCCCCGGCGAGATCGAAGCCGGCGTCGAAATCGTCAGCGCTCTACACCAGCGCTTTGGTCCCAGCGAGTTTACCGAATACCTAGGATGGCTGCTTGGGAAGGGAATGGCAACGCCCGACAAGAGCTTGCTCAAGTCGTTGACACCCGAGGTTCGCGAGAAGGAGGAGAAAGAGCGCTTGACGCGCCAGCGTGTGCTCTTGCGCATTGTCACCGAGCTTTGGCTTGTTGATGTTCTGCGAACTCTCGATGACGTTACAAGACCAGACGATGCCACCAAGGGTGCTACGGGCAAGGTCGCTGAGCTGAAGCCTAGAGCGCAGGCAAACAGGAGCGGTGCTACCGAGCCCTTCCCGCTCGAGGTACTGAAGGATCTGCTTGGCCATGATCGGGAACACGTAAACCTGCCTCTACTCGTCATCTTCGTAAAGGCCTTCAGCTGGGATATCTTGGGCGTCAAGTCTACGGCTGCCGAGGGACGAAAGACAGTTGAGGAGGACGGCGCGACCAAGACTGCGAACGGAATTGCGCACGGAGAGAGTGGCGGCGAAGACCAAGTTATCGACACCGAAGATCAGCCGTTCACGCCTCCTGAGCTCCAGGAGAAGTTCAAGACTATCCTTAAAAAGTACTTTGAGGACGTCAAGAGCCATGTCGTTCGAGACCAAAAATCGATCCATTCTCAAGCTCGCCGCAATGCTGAGGCCTACGTCAAGTCGGGCGAAGTCTTTGAAGATCGCCAGGCCAACTTTGAAAAGCAAATGAAGGCCCAGGAGCGGCTGGTAGCCAATGCCCAGGCCATCGCTGACGCCATTGGCGCTGATATGCCTGATCTCAAGGAGAGCGATGACTCGTTGGCCAACACCAATGGCTCAATCGGTCTGGTCAAGGCCGGCGACTATCTTCGTGGCCTTGGTGACGGTGCTGGTATTTGGGAAGACGAAGATGAGCGACGCTTCTACGAAAATCTCGTCGACCTGAAGGGCAAAGTTCCGGGCATTCTTTTGGACGACGGTAAGAAGAAGAAGTCCGATAACGAGGAGCAAGTGGGCAGGAAAGTAGAAGTTACCGATGCACCGGAAACTCCCAAAGTCCCGGACGCAGCCGAAGACCAGTCCACCTCCATTGCCAACAAGACGATTGGCGCTCAGGTGGACGCAGTGTTGGCTCGCTTGCCAGATCTCACCAACAAGGACGTGATTGACCAAGCCGCTATCGACTTCTGCTATCTCAACTCGAAAGCCTCTCGCAACAGACTGATCAAGGCTTTGACTGAAGTCCCCAAAGGTCGCGGCGACCTGTTGCCGTCATGGGCCAGGCTCGCTGCCACTCTGGGCAGATACATGCCGGATATCCCCAAAGGTCTCGTCGACTATCTTGATGCCGAGTTTCGCAGTCTGCAGAGACGAAAGGACAAAGACTTCCTGGGCCAAGTACGCTTGAGCAATATTCGCTACCTTGCTGAATTGACCAAATTTGGCATCGTCCCGGAGCATGTTGTGTTTCATTGTCTCAAGGTCAGCCTCGACGACTTCTCTAGGATGAACATCGAGATCATCTGCAATCTCTTAGAGAACTGCGGGCGATACCTCCTGCGGAACCCGGAGACTTCACCACGCATGGCAACCTTTCTCGAGACATTGCAACGCAAGAAGTCTGTCCAGCACATTGGCCAAGCCGAACGCATGCTCATTGAGAACGCCGTCTACTACGTTGACCCTCCTGACCGGCCAGCCATTCAACAAAAGGAGCGCACTCCCATGGAGCTGTTTATTCGCAAGTTGATCTATATGGATATGACTAAGCGTAATTACAGTAAGGTCTTGAAGCAGATTCGCAGACTCCACTGGGAGGAGGCCGAGGTAGGTCGATATTGATCTTTGCCGTGTCGTCAGATGTTAACCATATGTCAAGGTCGTCACCATTCTTGAAAAGGTTTTCTCCAAGCCGGGCAAAGTCAAGTACGGCAATATCCATCTTCTCGCAATTCTCCTCAGCGCAATCTACCGGTACCACCCAGCTTTCGTTGTCAGGGTTATTGACACTGTCATGGAGTCGATCAGCTTCGGGCTGGAGCAGAACGACTTCAAGTTCTACCAGCGAAGGATTTCTGAGGTCAAGTACATTGGTGAACTCTACAACTACCGAATGGTTGAGCATCCGGTCGTCTTCGACACCATGTACAAGATCATGACTTTTGGCCATGGTGGTCCGCCCATTCCTGGTCGACTGAATCATTTTGATTTGCCCGATGATTTCTTCCGTATTCGTCTGATTGCGACTATCTTGGAGACCTGTGGCATGTACTTTGCCAAGGGTGCGGCTGGCAAGAAGTTGGACTACTTCTTGTCGTTCTTCCAGGTTTGTTCCTTTGGACTTGGCGCTGCTTCCTGTTGACTAATACATGATAGTACTATATCTACACCAAGCAGTCGCTGCCCATGGATATCGAGTTCATTGTTCAAGACACTTTCGCCCTTACACGACCGCAGTGGAAATTGGCAACTAACCTCGAAGAGGCTTCCAAAGCATTCCAACTTGCCATAGCTCAGGACCAAAAGGTTTCGGGAGCTGACAAGACGCTCGAGGCCGATGATGCATCCATTGGGTCATCTTCGGACGATGAGGATGGAGATGAACACTTGCCTGAGCCCGAAGCTGACGAAGAAGAGTCTGGTTCCGACGAAGATGCCGAAGTAAGAGAATCGACTAGGCCGTGCTGGCCCAAGCCGTTGCTGATTAGTCTTACGAATAGGATAACGACGTCGACATGTCTCACGCTGACTCCGACAGCGAGGATGAGGCCATCGTGGTTACTCGTCAGCAGGAACAAGTTGATCCGGAAGCCGAGGCCGAGTTTGAACGTGAATACGCTAAGATGATGGCCGAGAGTCTGGAATCTCGAAAGTTCGAGCGCAAACCCTTGTTCGACGTGCCACTGCCCGTCCGCGGCAAAAGCAAGGATCCAGCAACAGCAGCCGACCCTGGAGATACTGGTGTCCCCACTCCAAGTAGCACCATGGCCTTTTCGCTCTTGACGAAGAAGGGCAACCGGCAGCAGGTGGGTGAAGCTGTGGTGGGTTGAGTGCAGTTATCAGCTTGACTAACACGCTTCGCAGACGCGGACCGTGGAACTTCCTTCCGACTCAACATTTGCTGTGGCTATGAAAACTCAGCAACAAGCCGAAAGAGAGGAGCAGCAACGCATCAAGAACCTTGTGTTGAACTATGATCTTCGCGAGAGCGAGGACCAGGATGGTAACGACTGCCCAAAACCAATTAAAGGACACCTAGATATTCACATCCCCCAAGCAGGCCACGAGAAGCCAACTTCCTATCACCACAATCGAACAGATCGCGGAAAAGACCGTGGCGGACAACGGGTTCGCAAGCTTCAGCTAAGTGACGTTGATTGGTATGAGTCATCAACCAAGCGTGGAAACTATTTTGCGCGGGCGCATCCTCCTCGCTCCGACTGGGACGTAGAAGCTGGTAACGATGTAGAGCAATCAGAGACTTCTCCAACACATCGTCACGGCACTGTTCACAAGCGTCACATGTCGGCCATGCATTCTACGCCCAGACCAGGAGATCGGAAGGAACAGCCTCGCCGGGTTCGCAAGTGCCAGTAGAGTTTGCTAACGAAGGGGAAACCTCGCTTCCACAACAGGACGTGAAGAACGCACCATCATACAGAACTAGGTTCTGAGGATACACTTTATTGCAGTCTACCAGACGCCACCAACATAACCCGCTGGAGGTTGCCGCAACTGCCAAGATTTCAAGGTGCAGGATGGCTCCTGGGGCTCTTATCGAGGCAGACAATCCATGCGAGGCACCAAACGCGGCCGAGTATACCCTCGTCATCGGAGCCTACCAGAAAAGCCTACCCAATGAGCTTTTCAGGCTCGCAACACTCCACGATCTAGCCGAGATCCATGGCAAACTGACAAGTAGATGAGCCAAGCTACGATCGACAATAGTTTGTAACCTGAGGATTCATATGGATGAAGAGACATGGGTTGCAAGGATGGCCAGTCACCGGCTAGATCGTAGTTCGTGCGTGAAGGTGACGATGAAGGAGGAGCGAGGAATGCCAGGTGGAATGGATGGGTGCAAAGCAGATCTTTACCACATCAGCCAAGCAAGTGGGCACAGTACCTATAAGATCTGAAGCAATCGCTCTGAGGTGGTTGATTGATTGACCCCGGGATTACTGCCGCCTTTTCCTTTAGAGAGGAGAATTCCCACATTCAACATTCTTTTGATAGAGAGAAGTAGATGTCCAATATCGAGAAAGGTAACAGACGCGTGCGCAGACAGGCTTGGCTATCGTCGCCAGTGCCTCTTCCGAATCGGGACAGGAAATTCTGATCGTATTCATTTCTCACGTGTAAATCTGGCCAGATGAAATTCTCACGGCGGCACGGCGAAAGGAAGGATAACGTAGTTGGGATTTTGGGGCAGTGCATTGTAGCGAAGTGGCTGACAGCCTGGTCTTGTACACTTACAGGATTTGCAGCTGGAATCGCTTGGTCCGTTGGCCAGAATCTTGAACCAGATGGTTGCGGGTGTGGCTTACAGTCGACCCGATGTGTGGTTCGAGAGTTGATGCGAAGTGGAGTGGAGCATCGTGGCACTGGTCGACGGTGCTAGATCTGATGCAACTCGATGGTGCTTCTTGGCAAGCATTAGCTGTGGGCAAGAGGAAATACGAAGTGCACATGTTTCAGTTGGCACAGGCAGTACCATTTCTTGGAAAGGGTGCCATCGTTCGTTTCACCTTGGGAGAAATCCCTAGGCTGACGTTGCATCGTATGTAGTCGATGCTGGCCAGTCGAACCTCGATGAAAAGAATTTTGTTTCTCGTTTTGCGGCAGGAAACGCCCCGACAACAGCATGCTGTGCATTTGGCGCTGCCATTGTTGCCACGCAGCTGTTCAGCAGAATTGCACCGCGACTGCAGCCGCGACCGGACGTTGAAGGACCTACGTCCGGTGGACGCAAGACGGGCTGCAAGAAAACCGAAGGTGTGCTCCGAGGTTCATGCAGGTCGAAAGTGTATATCTACAGCCTGGGCGATTGCAAAAGACGAACAGGACCCTGTGCGCGTGTCGAAGCCGATGGCGACAGCTTGACATGGCTGGGCAACACTATTGAGCCGAACCTTGACCTTGTTTGTGCATAAGCTCGCTTCATTCGTCCGATGTCGAGGTTCTCACGACGCCTACCTCAACTAAGGTATCGCAAACGGAGAGGGAGGTAGCTGATGTAGTGTATCTGGCGGACTTGGCCGATATGCTCCAAGCCAGTGCCGAGTAAAAATGCTGACAATTCGTGACTGACAACAACGACATGTCGCTCTCGCACTTGAGGTGGTTGATGAAATTACTAGGCACACAAGTCGAAACTTGCGTCGGCGGCGGCGGCGGGCGATCGCGTGGCAAATTAAGACTGCAAACAACTATCTGTCGCCTGCGTGATGCCATCTTCGAGCGGGTTGGAGATGAATGGGAGTAGGAGCGCGTATCCATAGAGGGGTGGCCTAGAAGCGGGTGGGGGGTGAGCGAGGCACGCGTGGACGTATGGCGCCGTTGTCCCAGTGTGTCCTGAAATATCACATTCCGGCTGATCCTGGGTTGCTCGGACGTCCACGGACGTCTTGGGGTGGAATCTGTATGGTACCATGTCTATATCCACCGGCTAGGTAAGAGATGTTCAGCACCGACCACGGCAACCCTGAAGCCTACCTTAGGCTAGGCGACGGGGAGATGGGGGGATCAGTAGAAGAGGATTCGAGAGAATTCAGGGACGTGAGGAAGAAGGAGGCGGAGTCTCGCTGTGGAAAGTGGTTTTGAATCGAGATATCGGTACTAAGCTTGAAGTCAGGTACCTGCCTTGGGATGCTGCCGGAGTTGGAGTAGATGATTTGGAAGATGGTTGTGTGGACTGTGGAAGAGGTTGAATGCGGCCCGTCCAGCATGGTTCTGGCCCGAAAATAGACGGCATCATTCGTGGTTGCATGGCCGTGGATATCGGAGAATTTCGTCTCTTTCCTGAATCCTCATCGACTTTGGAGAAGTGAAATAAGACAAGCGCGATGGATGTTTTGGGAAAGAGTTCCCCACAGGCGCCGGGATCGTCGTCGACCAGATTGGCTGCCCCTGGACCAAATCGTCTTAGCGCGTCAGGGCAAGGTTCGGTGTGTTAACCTTGAGAGAGGTGCGCCAATCATGTTTCCTTCTTCCTGGATGTCACCGTCCCTCACAAAGTGCGATGGAAGACGGGAAGCCCCAGTTGCGAATCACCGATGTTTCCTTCCGTCACCTCAGTCAAATTCCAGCGGGCAGGGATCAGATTCTCAGCGTTTGACGGTCAGGGTTTCTATTACGGAGTAGGTACTGGCCCCAGTATACATACCAACCTGAAGCTTGCTTGGCTGCCTCGCCCGATTCTTGGTGAGCTCCAAGCTTATCTTACCTACCAATCTGACCATGAATGCTGCCTTCAACAAGATCCCGTACGGATAGGTATTTGTCGTTGTTTGTTGGGAGGTGACGCCCACGGAGTGGCAAAGGCCAACCGGAATGGCTTCTACGGCAACCGCGCGCAGGGACAAGCGGGCGGGTTGCGGCGTCTAAACTAAGTGACTACCGAGTGTGAGAACAGAACATTCCATCACAAACTCAAAAAGAGACACTTCACCTTAATTCATGGGTTGATGCTTTGCATTTACCCTAATGCGATGGCGGTCGAATAAGGTGGCCGTACAGGGCACCGGAAGTTCTTTGATACAGCGGCCCCTACCGCCCGGAGTCCCGGCTGTGCTGGCGACCCACCTGTCGGCTCGTCTGATCCCTGCTTGATCCTTCCCTAAATGGACTTGACCCCCTTTGGTATGCTTAGCTAATACATATGACCCCCCTGCTTCACCAGGGGCAATTGCAACTTCACGTCGGGTCCTTGAGTGCCAACAGTGCATACCTACTTTGCTACTCTCACATCGTTTCGGTGATGATCCCAGGTTCACCTGCCGTGCACGTCACATTCTACATAAATATTCTCGGATGTTGGAAATGCGGGATACCTACCTTACCCCAGAAGGTCTGGGCTGTTTAGACAGGAAAGGTAGACCCAGGGGCCAGATCCCAGAGGTACGCAAAAGAACTCTCGAGGGGCCTCGGCTGGGCTGTGCATTCCACAGTTGACGATCACGTCCGTCTCCTACTCATAGTTGTTCCCAGCAACGGGTGCCTTGACCGACGTAGTCGCCGTTAGCATCAGAAGCACATCATATTCCAGCAACGATCGCGGATCTAAACGAGACCATGAGGGCGGGTGATACCCCCAAACCACCTTTGCGTGATTAGCATTCCATCGAGAACCCGGCTGCGTGGGAAGTTGAAGACACGAGGCATGTCGCACCAAGGGTCCTGACAGCCGCACCACATGCCATTCTAATTATCTTGCCCGGTTAACTGATACAGCATTTCTGAGCGAGGCTATTGCCACGACGGCAAACCGATTCGTCAATCTTGCCACGTACCAGGCGCCGGGGACGTCGAGGAGACTGTAGAAACATATCTCCTAGGTTCCGCAGGGCATACAATTTGCAACTCGAACCGGCCGGTCACAATACCAAGAGCTCCTCCATGTGCGCAATCGGGTGGCTATCCGCGCCAAAATGATGCCTTGCCTGGCTTGACATTGGCGCCCATCCATCAATCGGCTAATGTGATCCGTGCAGGTCGGTGATCCCTGAGCTGCTTTTTGCTTGCTTGCCTGCTTGTTTGCTTGATCCCCTTGGGCTGAATACCTAATCATCCTCCTTATCCACCTATTCAACTTGGACCATCTAGAACCCCCCCCCCCCCATCGGTCTGTGAGGTGCCGGATCAATCCTAGACGGGCGCGGTTCTATCGAGCCTCGAACCCCCGTTCGCGCCTCCCCCGTCTTTGGTACCCTTTCCTTTTCCGTCTTTGCCCATGTTACGCCCCAGGCTTCTTAAGACGAGTAGGAGCCAACCAACATCTCCCGTCATCTGATTTTCTACTCAGCGTCTCTTTTAGTCTCCGTCGCTCCGCGATCTTTCTTTGTCCTCTCTTGCTGATCCCCGCTCATGATGTACTCGTTGACCTCATAAGAGCCCATCTGAGTTTGAGTGTCGCGACCGACCTTTTCTTGCCTGGAGTGGCCAACCTGAACAGGCCGGTCACTACTGGGAGGTGAGTCGTTTCCTCATCCGGCCCATTGCAAGTCACCCCAAGCTCACCTCACTCGAAGAAAAAGGCAACTTTGCCCATATTCACGACCGAACGATCAGAGCTCGCCTTCCGCGGTTACCGACTACTTTGTTCGGATACCTTGCTTCCGTTGGCACGGTACAACTTGAGTCTTGACTCCAGCCTGACGCACCCGTCCGACTGGATTCAAGAAAACGAGTGTTCAACATAGTACGCGCCGTACAAGCGAGCTGCAACTACCCGACGACAACACGCTTTATTTGCACGATCCCGCCTCTCTCACCGCGACGTGGACCTTTTCTACCCAGCTGAAGTTGCGGTTTCCGATCGGCTCCTTGCCCGCCTGCGTTTGCTCCCACCGCTCGTGTATTGTCGATTCAGCGCACGTTTTTAAGACACGATGGAAGACTACAGTTATCTTGTCAAGATGGCGGAGCCTGGTGATGATAATTACTGGGCCCCCAAAGATGTGAGCCCATCTGTAACTTGCATATCCATCCTCACTAGCTGACATGTTCAGATTGTTTACACTTCGATTGTCGGGTTGGTGATGTTGGCAGCCATCCTCGAATGGTTCCTATGGATTGCTGCATTCCTGTACTGCCTGTGGAAGGTCTTCGTCAAGGCCGAGCATTGGTCTATTCGAGTATTGGCAGTTATTGTTGGTATCTTATTCACTTGTTTCAGGTAAGTGGAAGTGGCACGCAACCCCTCACAAGAAAGATGGTCGAGCTCACAATTATTCCCAGAGCAATTTTCCTCCCGATCATGATCGTCACTCTGCCATTGCCCAGTGCTGTCGTAAAGTACTGGCCAACAAACATGGTCGATGTGCTTCAGTGGTTCGCTTTCTGGAGTTTTGCTGGCCTTCTGACCATTCCATGGCTGTTCTGCGTCTATCAGCTTGTTACCAACCAGCTTGGACGAACGAAGAGAATCAAGCAGGTACTGGACGAAGTCTCGGCACCAAAAGTCGTCATCGTCATGCCCGTCTACAAGGAGGACCCAGATGTTCTCGTTGTTGCCATCAACTCTGTCGTCGACTGCGACTACCCGCCCTCTTGCATTCACGTCTTCCTCTCGTTCGACGGTGATCAAGAAGATGAACTTTACCTGAACACTCTCGAGAAGCTGGGTGTCCCGCTGACCTTGGAGACATACCCTAAGAGTATCGATGTTTCATACAAATCCGCTCGTATCACCGTCTCCCGATTTCCCCATGGCGGCAAGCGCCATTGTCAGAAGGCCACCTTCAAGCTCATCGACAAGGTTTACGAGCACTACCTCAAGAGAAACGACAACCTCTTCATCCTTTTCATCGATTCCGATTGTATTCTGGACCCTACCTGCCTTCAAAATTTCGTCTTCGATATGGAAATGAGCCCTGGTAACCCCAGAGACATGTTGGCCATGACCGGTGTTATCACGTCTACGACTAAGAAGCATAGCTTGATCACACTGCTCCAAGATATGGAGTATATTCATGGCCAACTTTTCGAGCGAACTGTCGAGTCCGGGTGCGGCGCCGTCACTTGTCTTCCCGGTGCTTTGACGATGCTTCGATTCTCTGCCTTCCGCCGAATGGCCAAGTACTACTTTGCCGATAAAGCAGAGCAGTGCGAGGATCTTTTCGACTTCGCCAAGTGTCATCTTGGCGAGGACCGCTGGCTGACGCATTTGTTCATGATCGGAGCCAAGAAGCGGTACCAGATCCAGATGTGTACCTCCGCCTTCTGCAAGACCGAGGCTGTCCAGACCTACAGATCCCTGATCAAGCAGCGTAGACGTTGGTTCCTGGGTTTCCTCTCCAACGAAGTCTGCATGCTTACTGATTGGCGTCTCTGGAAGCGCTACCCTATCCTGGTTCTCGTTCGATTTATGCAAAACACCATCAGAACCACGGCTCTTTTGTTCTTCATTATGGTCCTCGCTATCATCACCACTTCCAAGAAAGTTGACAACTTGCCCGTCGGCTTCATTGCAATTTCTCTCGGACTCAATTGGCTCATGATGCTGTACTTTGGTGCCAAGCTCCGTCGTTTCAAGATCTGGCTGTACCCGATCATGTTCATCTTGAACCCCTTCTTCAATTGGTTCTACATGGTTTACGGTATCTTCACAGCTGGTCAGAGAACATGGGGAGGCCCGAGAGCTGATGCCGCGACTGCCGACACCGAGACTACTGCTCAAGAGGCCATCGAACAAGCCAAGGAAGGTGGAGACGAGCTCAACATCGTGCCTGAAACGTTCATTCCTGCCGCCGAGGCCCGAAAGGAGAGCATCGCTGGCGGCAAGGGTAACATGGGCCCTATGGGTCGCAAGCACAGCGTCGTCCAGCCGCCATCGCAAATTGAGGGACGCTTCGCTGCCAGAAAGAAGTCTGCTGCTGGATTCTACGTCAACGCTGACGACTCCCAAGTCACCGTCAACCGATCCGGTCCCAGTGGTTTCGGTCCGGCATGGGCTTTGCAGTCACGCGACTCATTCGATAGTATGGTGTCGTCGCAGACCGCTGGCAACTCGGTCTACATGCCCCGTCGTGTAGAGAGTATCATGGGTGAAGAGGATCGCAAGAAGTATGAGCTTGCTCAGCAAAGCCAGTTCAACCAGTTTTTGTCCAACTCTAAGCGATTTGGGGCTCAGACTACAACAACTGGTCAGGTTTACGAATATTCCGATGCTGAGATGAAGCGGGGAGGATTCCAAGACGTCCCGGATCCGATGGATAGAGGCCAGGAGTATACCGACAATGTCCGGATGGGCTCTGTCGACAACAGCTTTTCTGGACGGCCGCAGTCTGGAGAAGGTCTGCCACGGCAAGGAATGAACGCAACACATTCGGCCAGAGGCGGGCGCAGCCCTCTTGCAAGAGCTAGCTTGGTCCGCACGATCCCTCTGGAAGATGTTCAATCTGAGGGTGAAAGCTCAAGCGGAGGCCATGACAGCCGCGATGACTCGCCCAAGAGAAAACTGTAGAGGAGCGTTGGGGGCGAGGCAACGACGGTGTGCGATAGAATGGATAAATTTGCATATCTTGGCGTTGAAAGGGCTTTCAAACATAAAGCAGGAGAACTTCAAGACGTCCGGCAACACTGGTTTCGAATATTTCCTTTAATTCTTTTCTTATTTCTTTTGTAAAACCCATGGGTTGACAGCGCAAGAGCTGTAGATGCAACGCTTAGCATAGCGGGTATTGGAAAGCCCATTTGACCAGAAAGCTATTAGCAATACTTACATAATGCAATGCATTCTTGAGGCATCCGTACTCTAGCAAACTGACGATATGGTGCAATGGGCAGTTGTGGTTAAAAATAATGAGAGGAAACGCAGCCTGCTCGCCCATCTAAGATGCGACTGATGATCCATGAACTATCGGTACCATGGCATTAGCAACAACATCTGGCCCAAGTGGCCGGGTTGGTGGAAGGTTGCAAGCTGTGAAGTAATATTAATCAAGGACAAGATGTAGAGCGTCGGGGAAGGAGATGCATTTGGTAATCGTCGCGGCAAGGACATGATGTATTACCCAATAGAGGGGTATCGCCAAGATAAGATTAGATAACTTCAAGTGGACTCGGAACTGTATCGTACTTGGCAACAACCTGTAGAGGCGGCATGTTGTCTGGTCGCATGCCTTACAAAAACAGACTCGTGGGAGCAGCCTGACATTGACGTTCCTCATGACTAATGATGATTTCCAAGGTGCTCCATATATAAGGTAGGTCAGAGGTATTGCATCACGGTTGACCACAGATGTTTGGATAGAATTCTACAAACGAGCAAGGATGGCAGACAGGTTGTTGTTGATGATGAACAGGGATGGCTTTGGACAAAGGCACGAAGGACGGATTGATTGCTTCGAAACCGAGGCGGTCCACCATATTCGTTCATGAATATACCCCCAAACTCTATAGTATGTACGGATAGCTCGCAGACATGCAGAGACCAACGGCGAGCAAGCCCATCTGCCTGCCAGCCTTACCTTATACACGTGGATGTGGTTCTTCGTTGTCCGCATTGCCTCACTTTCCGCGGGAGCCAGTTGGAGAGAGGGACGATTGGTGAGGGGTGGCGGCGGGGTGGAGGAAAAGCGTGGAGGGGCAGAAGCACAAGAAATCCACGGTGGCAGCGGAGTGGCACGGTGACCCGAGCAGGGGGCCAAGTCCATGAGGAACAACAGAGAACGAAGGAGAATCTTCTTTCCCATTCGGCCTCCACTACTATTTCAGCGCCCTGACACCGTCAAAATTCCATTTGGGTCCACCCAGCTCAAGTCATTCCCGTCCCGCCAAGTACCTACCTACCCTACCTATCATTTGGTAGACATCGTCGCCTTTTCCGAGGTACCTTACCTTACTCAGAGCGCACAGTCACAAGCAATACCGCCCCTTGCAAGCAAAGAAAACGTCCGCTAGAAGACGCTCCAGTTACAGAGCATCGCACGCTACAAGTCTCATCTCGTCGATGCCATACAGTAGGTACCCAACTTGACAGCACACACACAATCCAACCCAAACCCAAACCCAGTGTAAGGTACCGTGCCAAAAAAAAAAAAAGGTACCTGACCGCCCTCCTTGCCTCACCAATACCCCAAAGTAAATCTGGTGTGGCCACGTACCTTACCGCTACCTGGACCTCCCCGGTCTTCCCTGTCCCGCCCACCTCATCCACCTCTGTGGCCTGCCACTCACTGCCTTACCTCAGAGTACTTACTTGGTGTACCGCCCGGCCAGACACTTCCTGGTGACGCTAGAGCGCACTGCAACTTTTTTTCCACACTCCGGCACATCCCACCTTCAGGTTCTCTTGCATATTGACAAACTCTTAAACCTTGCATTTGTCTGTACTCGACATTTTTCTCCCCCCAACCTTTTCGACGAGACGACCTTTCGACTCGACCGCTTGCAAATACCCTTCCCGCAAGTCGGATAATCAACCATCACTCGACCAAGACTCGAAACCCCCAACAAATCTCTTTCCTCTTCTCAGAGCGTTGTTGTGAGCGCAACCCCGCTGCCATCAGAACCTCCGCCGGACAATCCTTGTTTACAATATCCTCACAGAAAGAACACTACCACCCAACATGAGTGTCGTCGGTATGCTTGCGCCTCTCTGTCTTGCTCTGCCGCCTTGGTATCTGTCGCCTTGAAGAATACTTGCTGACCTTTGTGTTCTTTACTTCAGGTGTTGATTTCGGAACCCTCAAGACGGTCATTGCCGTCGCCAGAAATCGCGGTGTCGATGTGGTGCGTACCCTGACCTCTGCCCCTCCCCCGCCAAAAAACAAGCAGAGATTTTGCGACAGAACAACGACGACTAACGAACGAATATAGATTTCCAACGAGGTCTCCAACCGCGCTACACCGTACGTCCAAACCAATACCCCCCAGTCGTTCGAAATGATGATGCAGTCAGACTAACTGTTATCTCCAGGTCTGTTGTTGGATTCGGTCCCAAGTCGCGATACCTCGGCGAGAGCGCCAAGACTCAAGAAATCTCCAACCTCAAGAACACTGTCGGTTCCATCAAGCGTCTTGCCGGCCGCGCTGCCAGCGACCCCGATGCCCAGCTCGAGCAGCAGTACATCACCGCTCCCCTCGTCGATGTCAACGGCCAGGTCGGTGTCGAGGTTTCGTACCTTGGCAAGAAGGAGAAGTTCTCCAACACCCAGCTGATCTCCATGTACCTCAGCAAGATCAAGCAAACAACACAGGCTGAGCTCAAGCTTCCCGTTTCCGACTTGGTCATGAGCGTTCCCGCTTGGTTCACCGACATCCAGCGCCGCGCCATTATCGATGCTGCCGAGATCGCTGGCCTGAAGCTCCTCCGCCTCATGAACGACACTACTGCTGCCGCTCTCGGCTGGGGTATCACCAAGCTCGATCTCCCCGCCCCCGAGGAGCAGCCCCGCCGTGTTGCCTTCATCGACATCGGCCACAGCAACTACACCTGCTCCGTTGTTGAGTTCAAGAAGGGCGAGCTGGCCGTCAAGGGTACCGCCTTCGACCGCCACTTTGGTGGCCGTGACTTCGACAAGGCCCTTGTCGAGCACTTGGGCAAGGAGTTCAATGGAAAGTACAAGATTGACATCCACTCCAACGGCCGCGCCATGGCCCGTACCATCGCTGCCGCCGAGAAGTGCAAGAAGATCCTTTCTGCCAACCAGCAGGCTCCCGTCAACATCGAGTCCATCATGAACGATGTCGATGTTTCCGCCATGATCACGCGCCAGGAGTTCGAGGCCCTCGTCGAGCCTCTGCTGCAGCGTGTCCACGTTCCTCTCGAGCAGGCTCTTGCCGAGGCTAAGTTGACCAAGGACGACATCGACGTCATTGAGGTCATTGGTGGTGGCAGCCGTGTTCCTGCCCTCAAGGAGCGCATTCAGGCTTTCTTCGGAAAGACCCTGTCTTTCACCCTGAACCAGGACGAGGCTGTTGCTCGTGGCGCTGCCTTCAGCTGCGCTATCCTGTCCCCCGTTTTCCGTGTCCGCGACTTCACTGTCCAGGACATCATGAGCTACCCCATCGAGTTCGCCTGGGAGAAGGCTCCCGATATTCCCGACGAGGACACCAGCCTGACTGTCTTCAACCGCGGCAACGTTCTGCCCTCTACCAAGATTCTTACCTTCTACCGCAAGCAGCCCTTTGATCTCGAGGCTCGCTACGCCAAGCCCCAAGATCTCCCCGGAAAGATCAACCCGTGGATTGGTCGCTTCTCTGTCAAGGGTGTTAAGGCCGACGGCAAGGATGACTTCATGATCTGCAAGCTGAAGGCTCGCGTGAACATCCACGGTGTTCTCAACGTTGAGAGCGGCTACTACGTCGAGGACCAGGAGGTCGAGGAGGAGGTTAAGGAAGATGAGAAGGATGGCGAGAAGAAGGATCCTGATGTGAGTGTTGCGGCGTCTCGTTACGAAACTTTTCCTTCTGCCGACGTGCTTGATAGCTTGGAGTCGCCGCTCAAACGACGGCGCCAAGGCTTAGACACGGAGTTGCGATCTGTTCCGCCCCCGTCTTGTGCGTTTGTCGAGGATGAAGAGATCCCGAAGCTAACAATCTATTCACCTCAAAAGGCCATGGAGACCGACAACAAGGAGGATGCTCCCAAGAAGACCCGCAAGGTGAAGAAGCAAGTCCGCAAGGGCGACCTCCCCATTGTTAGCGGCACAGCCTCCCTGTCCGACTCAGCGAGAACTGCTCTTTTCGAGAAGGAGTCTGCCATGGTTATGGAGGACAAGCTTGTCGCCGATACCGAGGAGAAGAAGAACGAGCTCGAGACCTTCATCTACGACCTTCGCAACAAGCTCGACGACCAGTACGCCGACTTTGCCAGCGACGAGGAGAAGACCAAGATCAAGGAAAAGCTTGAGGCGAGCGAGGTAAGAGATTTTCTGGAGTACGTGCGATTCGAAAGCGGCCGCTAACCTATGTTCCAGGACTGGCTCTACGATGAGGGCGAGGACGCCACCAAGGCCGTCTACGTTGCCAAGATTGACGAGATCCGCGCCATGGCCGGACCTATCGTCCAGCGCCACTTCGAGAAGGTCGAGGAGGAGCGTCGCATCGTTCAGGAGAGAGTTGAGGCTGAGAAAGCCGCCAAGAAAGCCGAAGAGGAGGCTCGCAAAGCTGCCGAAGCTGAGAAGGCTCCTCCGGCGGCTAAGGATGAGGAGATGACCGACGCTGACGCAAAGGCTGACGCTGAGGCCGAGGGCACGAAATAGGATCCTGTGGACCTGACCAACGTTTGAAACTTTGAAAAAAAGATAACAAAGAGAACAAAAGCGAGAAGCAACGAAGATGATAGAATAGACCCTTAGTTATGGTTTCTTTCGGGTTGGCATAGGGTCATCAGGCTAGAGCAGCTTCGACGGTTATCATGGAATGAGAGAAATGACTTGAATTTGACAAATGACCGAGGCCTCTTTTCCATACACACGTCAAATATTAACTATGTTTTATCAAGGTAGTGATTCATTGCGTTTTCTTCCTCAAAGCAGTTGTGACTCGAGTATCTGCAAGTATGGTATGGTGATGTACCCCTCGAGAAGAGTGTAAATCACAGCCTACATACATCATGTCATTTCCTGGCCATCTTCAAGTCAGAAATTCTAGATAAAACATCTCTTTGAATTCTTTTGCCCACAGCTTGCAAATTTTTGTTTTTTGGAGAATGGCCATGGAAACACACATATGCTTTTCGGAGGGGTGATAAACCACCTCGTAGACAAAAAACCACATACATCAGACTTCTTTGAGAGAAAAAAAAACCTTCATTTCCATCCCTTCATGCAGCCCAGATAACCCACTTCCCACACCATTCATCCTTTCCATACTTCTTCACCTCCAGCTCCCCCTCTCTCTGCCTCTCTCGTCATGTAGCTAAACAAGACAGAAGAGACAGACACAAGGAAGTAGTAGATATTACGCAATCAGTGAATGTCGAAAAGGGGCTTGAGCTTGATGATGAGCTGCCACTCGTCGTTGGAGACGTCCTTGCGGTAGAACTCCTTGAGGGTGTTGATGCTGGCGCGCGAGATGAGACTGTACAGCACGTCAGACTCCTCGAGGTGGCGACCGTACGTCGGCTGGTGGCCGCCCATTTCAATCTTGACGGCGACCGAGGGCTGTCCCTTCTTGCAGACGGGAATCTGCTTGTGGTCACGCTCGATAGAGGTACTACTCGGTGTTAGCATCCAAAATTGTTCTTTGTCCTTTTCTTCGTCGGATCAATGGGATGGGGATCATGGGACTTACACTCTACCCAAGTTGACGATTTCCTTGACGCCAGTGACGGCGTTGGTCTTGACGGCTGCAATGGGTGTGTTGATCTTGAGCTGACCGTCAACGACGTCAACACCAACGACAATGGGGCCGGTCTTGTTGAAGACGGCAACCGTGTTGAGCACGCAGGGGAACACGGCCAACATCTTGGACTCTTCCTTCTTCTTCTCCAGGAGCTCCGCCATGTGCTTGGTGAAGGCATCGAACAAGTGGTAAATAATGTCTGCGGTGAAGATCTTGACACCGACGTCGTCGGCGTACTGCTGCGCCTCCTTGTCGACCTTGACATCGAAGCAGAGCATGACGGCGTAGTCGGCCGCCTTCTCCAGCATGATACCGGCCTGCATGACATCGCGCTTGTACACCGGGCCGATACCGACGTTGGCGACGGGAATCTTGCAGTCCTTGAGGAAATCGAGCAAGGCCTCGAGGGAACCGAGGGTGGACGCCTGGACACTGACACC